ACTTTCACGCGACTTTCGCGGAACTTTCACGGATCTTTCGCGCTACACGCACTAGCCAGACCGCATTTCGGCATCTGCCTGGAGCCTGCCGCGTGATTCGTTTGAAACAGAAATGTCGTGCTAAAGGAGTAGCAGTAACAGCAGCAATAGCAGGAGCAGTGCCAGTACTAGTACTAGTACTAGTGCTAGTACAAATACAAGTACAAGTATTAGTGCAGTTACTGGTACTCGTATTAATACTAGTAGTATAGTAGTAATGGTGGTGGTGGTAGTAGTAGTAGTAGTAGTAGTAGTAGTAGTAGTAATAACAATAATAATCGTAATAGTGACAAATAGGCTAACACAATAACTTTCGCAAAACAAATTCTTTAGCAGACCCATCGCGGAACTTTCGCGATGGCATGTTATGTTATGCCCGTAATCGATGCCCACATGTGTCCGGCTTTTCAGTGATCATTGAATCATGTTAATCATGATGTTTGATCCTGCACATGCGAGTGCTGGGGGGATTGCAGGAGTGGGGACGAATCCTAGTTGCCCATGCCTAGGCCTAAGCTTCTTCATCCGGTGACACTCAGAAACTGTCAACTGCAGCCTGGTCCAACATGCCAGGCTAGTCTAATTTCGTGCCAAGATTCGACACCTCATACTTTGACAGCTGCTCGAAGGCAGTGCTGCTGCAGCCGCCAGAACCATCTTTGTCCAAAAACGCAAAGACTTGCGCAACCGGACCAAAATAGCCCAGCGTGTCCCAAGCTTCTTGCCATTCCTCCAGCGTCATCGTGGCGGTGCCGTCACTAAGCGCAGCCCAAGGACTTGCCGCGTCGCCAAAGAGCCGTCGACAAAATAGCATCGTCTCCCCAATGCACAGTTTCAGATCCTCGCAGGAAAGGCACCAGAGCTGGTATGCAACCTGTCTAATCATGAGCCCTTGCAGGGAGACCGTTCCGGGGAATGGGAACGGGTTGCCCTGTGGTGAGCTTCTGTTATCGCATCACTGTCACATGTGAGATCATGCCTCAGAACAATCCCGGTGAGAGTTGCGAGTATTACGAGTGTCATGTCTTAATGTTGGCTCACCCATCCTTTGCAATCCTACGACCTACGATCCTGCGACCGGCAGTCTAAGCCAATTCACTCGATGGGCAAAAACGTAAACGTTTGCATCTGAGGCAACAAATGTCGCACGCACCGGGAAATGGTGGCCTGCACACAGGCAAGAGGAGGTCAATTATGGTGGCGCACTATCATGTGCGGCGGTAGCAATGAGAGGTTCAAACGAGCGAGTGAGTGGATTCCTTGTATATACTTTCTTGACATTGTGGACATACATGCACATGGGCACGCTGCAATGCCTGCCGTACAATCACTCCTGAGCTTGGCAAAGCTGGAGCATGGGGGCTCTCATCTATTAAGGGGTGCTGTGCTCATAAGCGTACCCGCGCGATTGTACGCCCTTGTCACTTGGTGATGTCCACAACATGCTGGGGATTCCGTACCCGGCTCCGTCATTTCCAAGACGATGCAGGACACTACCGGCTTCCGAAATTTTGCATGCAAATGTTCTGCTCGGCGAGGGGCCAGCAGTTCTGTGCGTGCAGTGCATTCTGCCAGCGGGCCTGATGGTCAAGCTCGGAGGGACGAGTGTGTGCAACATCATGAACTTGTTGACTGGTTCAGTACGCTTGAGCACAAGTTTGCTTCCTACCAGTCGTAATAAGAAATCCGTTCAAGCCTTCAACCTGCTCCGTGCCACAGGACGCGAAAGCAATGTGCATTGAACAGAGCTTGAAAACTGCCAGGACCAAGGATGACCCGCAGCCATGAGAGGAAGAACACCTGACTTGCGTCCCTTCATGACATGACAAACACTGCAAACGCTATCAGCATGCTTCATGAAACTGTAATGATTTCGTGCTAGACACCGCTGTCACAAGAGCCAATGCAAAATGCTGGCAGGTCCTGCTCCACATATCTCAGAGCATCCCAATCTTTTAGCGCAATCTTGCCTTCCGAACGAACATCAATGAATCGAAACACCGCCTGGAAACGCTGCTGCTCCCCCGGCCCTTTGAATCTGGCAAATCCCAGTCGCTTGCATCCTTCTTCGAACTCACGGCTGCTCATCTGTCCGTCGGCATCCTTGTCCTTGTCCTGCCTCATCTGTGCGAATGCGGCTGAAAGAGTTTCGCAGTTCGCTATCATCCAAGTTGTGAGCAAAAGGACATCGGCAGGCAACTTGCTGGTGAAGCTGCAGAAGAAAACATCTTCCTCTCCGATTTCCGTTTGCCAGCTTCCCATCTGCTCGAGAAGATCTTTCCTCATCTTGAAGCTGCGCTGGTCGGCTCGGCACACGTACTCCGCCTCGAAGACGCCGTGCTTCGGTACGTTCGACATCTGTTCCCAAGACTTAGGAATTCCGAGCGTCAGTGGATCCACAGCGCCTTCTCCGGAAGTGTATAAAGGGTCCTTCAGGTTGGATGGACTTTCCTTTCCAGACAGCTTCAGAAGAGAACTTACCAACAGCCTCTCGTCAAAGTTCTTGAAGCTCAACTGAATGTGAATCTGCTCCGGTTGGAGGTAGGGGAAGCTTGCGGCATAGCCTAACCGCTGCAACATGGAAGTTGATGCATCATCGTCTAGTCTCATCCGCACAAGTTTCTCAAATTGGATATCCACTATGCGGCTGTAAAACATCGCGAAGGCATCACAGCGAGTGGTTGAGTCTTTGAAGAGGTCAAGAATTTGACGTAGCTGCAGGCATGTCAAGTAAAGTGTGTGGGAAATATGCAGAAGAGCTTGCAGCCGGCAGCGAGAAGGAGACCGTGCAAACTGGAGCAAAGCCGTCATGATCAGCTCGAACTGGTCATCTTTCACAGGCTCAGCGCCTTTCGGTCGCTGAGAACTGTTGTAGTCCAGCTCGAGGATGTCGCTCTCTGCGAGAATCCAATCTGTGAGACTGCATGGAAGAGGGCAATTTGCATGCTGAATATTGCGGGCGTGAGAGTTGTTGCCGAGCTGCGAGGTGTCTGTCCCACCCTCCCTGGATCGCAGAATGCCCTCCCAATTGTCTAGGACTGCCAGGCTTTCGGCCACTCCATAATCCACCGGATTGGACATGTCCAAAGAATAGTGACCAGTTGGATTGTCAGCGTTGAACGAGAATTGCCGTGCTGACCGCTGAAGCATTCTCACATAGTCACAGGAATTTGGAATGAGGCGCATTCCCAAATAGGCTTGCAAGGGGCTTTCTAGCGGAGTGCACTGAAGGCTTGCCATTACATCCCAAATCTGAGCCCGGTCTTGGCACATTACTGCGATCTGAGCGAAGCTAAGACGGAAGTCTTTGGACAAAGCATCAATCATGATGCTTTGCTCCTCTCGCAAGCCTTCCATCCGCCTCCATTGAGCCAGCAGCGCAACTTGCTTCGAGCGGCCGGGCAAGATCCGCAGCAACTGGGCATGGCATGTGATCACTGAGTTAAACTCCAAAGAGTCTGCACTGCCCTTTGCTTGGGCAGCTCTGTCCTCGAGCACCTTATCCATGGTAAATGTCAGCTCAAGAGTACCAGCCTGTGGTAGCGAGTAGATGCCACTGGAGTTCTTGGATGCATGACTGTAAGGCGGGGAAGCAGTCATGTCGCGGAAGGTTTGGTCGAAAGCCACATTGAGTCGCTCTGCGGTTTTGTACAGCATGCGAAGCAAGGTGCGATGATAGGGCTGTGCCAAATCAAACTTGTACCGCCCTTGAGGGCGAGACGCACGGAATATTTGCAAATCTGTCCGGGCTCCAACCACGGTGCCTTTGCTGCAGTTCTCGAAATGGAAATATTGCAAGCCTGATGTTTTTCTCGCAAGCAAGCGTAGCAAGCTGCGAATTCCCAAATTGCCGAGACCGTTGTGTGACACGTCCATCTCTCGCAAGACCGTGTTGTTCTCCAGAGAATCCTCAAGAAGAAGTGCTGCCCGAAAGTCCAAGTAGTTCCCTGAAATATTCAAGAGTTGCAAGGATGTGTTTTCACTTAGATGCTCAAGCAAGTAAACCATGGACGAGCTCCAAGGCGACTTTTTGGACAAGGTTGAGCAGCTCGCAAGGTCCAGTTTTTCCAGCGTGCCCAACTCAATCAACTTCTGGCCGAGGAAGTCGAATCCAAGCGCACCGAAGCAGTTCCAGCTGAGGTCCAAGTGCAC